AATGGGCTTCTTGGCATTATCGGCTGCAGACAAGGATACAAGTCGCTTCATTGCTATTTTAGAATCGGTCATTTGAAGAACCTTGGGCCGTGAAAATGGAGCGAGGCTGGGGATGGATTGGATCAAGTCAGACATCGAGCGATCAGGAAACATTAAGCGCAAAATTTCGCTGACGGGTTTTTGACAGTGGGTTGTCACAGTGCCCATGAGGTGGCGGAAAGCTCGAATCATTAACAGATATGTATGGGGCGTTTTATTTTTGAGATGCATTTGCTGGGTTTGGATTGCAGGTGAATTAGGATTTGGCTGGAAATCGATGACAGAGCAAAGCTGGTTGGGTACAAATTCGTCGTCACCAGCCTCTAGGGGCTCATATGGACGTTTGTCCCAAAGAAGAAGAGGTTCTTTAGTGCCGGACAGGACACCATCAAAACACATTCGTTCCTCCATAAGTGTCTCAAAACGCGATATTGCACCGCTCTTACACGAGCTGAGTAATTCTTCAACTTTCAATTTCTCCTGATGGATTTCTTTTGCATAATCCACCACATCGGCTAGAGTTGGTGTTTGTGTATTCAACATTGAAACCAATTCAACCTCCAGCTTCTCAATATGCGCTATTTTTGGTTCTACTTCTCTGAACAACGCTTCGTCACGATTTTCATTAACGAGACGCCTATGGAGGCTAGTAGCCCTATAATAAACTGATTTATCTCGGATATCAGTACGCTTAGGAGTTTTCGATGACGGCCTTCCCCTTGGTGTGGTCACTCGAAGGTCGGGAAAGTTTGGATCTTGTGTGATTTTAATATACGCATCGTGCCACTGCCGTTTGGGTCGAGGAATATAATCTACACGCTTCCCGTGCGTGCTTGGGTCAGGGGCAAGCTCTGGAGGAGAGGCTTCCCGACCGCCAGGAGTTACAACTCCATTATTCTCAGCTCGCTTTTCGACCTGCTTTCTGCTTATCTCCAGCGTCGAGATTCCCTTCTGGGAGTGCCATAATTCGCGTGTGTTATCTCCTAAAACCTCGGTAATTTCGGCGCATGCGGCCTCCACGATGGCCGCAGATCGTCTTCGTCTTGAAACTACTCTAGGCAAAATGACCTCCGCATCATCGGATGACATAAGCGTAATCACCCTGACCAAACCATAGCGATGAAACATGGTCTGGTCAAAACAGGCCTCCAGATACCGCAGCAGAAGACCGTAGGTTTCCCCAAATTGAGGTTTAGCAGTCATGTTTGCCAACACAATGAGCGAGTCGTTTACTGTGCATCCGCTATCGCCAGTACAAACTTGGGCTCGTTGTGTTTGTTCCGGCAGATGTCCTTGTTCAAAAATATCATCAATCGTTCTGACGTTAAAGGGATCCCAGGGTAGATGTTTATAGCAAGAATCAGGGTCTTCAGTTAAGGGTTTTAGAAACGACTGGTAATAATAGGTGTTAGGTTCGATCAGCAGATGACGTCGAGGTTTGATATAATTATGGAGCTTTGCGGAAAAGAGCCCGACACCAGGGAGGATGTCGATGATATCACATGGCGAATGTTTCTTCAAAGATGAGCCCAATCGCTGTAGGATATCATCTACACAATTTAAATATGATTAGCTTGCAGTCATTAAGAATGAAAATACTATATGCCGTCGTATTAGGCTCTCTGGGAGCTATGGAGCAGGTTATATTTACCGCAGAGTAAGGGGCTGGAAATGTGGGACCTGAGTTGGTAGTGGGAAGATGGTCGTTTAGTTATTACGGCCGAAACAGCGGATGAGAAGACACTGGAAGAAGGGAAAGGCGCCTTAAGAAGCATCGAGGCGGGAATTGCTGTCATTGGCATCCTGGTGCAAATGAAGCGCAAGGTCCTGGAACACGGGGTATTAATAAAGGAAAGAATATACAAGAGAAAGAAATAGTAACAAAAATGAAATTCTGTCTTACAAGATATCAAGCCAGTTTGCGGTGAAATGTTTTTGGTTGCTGGAAATGCAACAAAAGTTGAAGCCGAAAAAGTTTCTTCGATTCGGCAGATTTAAATATTTTCTAGTCTTGGCGAAGGGATGAAAGACTGCGCAAAATTCAACCTTCGTTTGACCAACTAATTTAATGGGGATGCCTAACCACGTCAACCATCAACCATCATCACCGTACACCACCACGGCAGCGCCTGCGGATTCCCGCATTTGAGCGACTTATAACCTATCGTGGGAAAGCGAAAACATGCCCTGCCATTCTGTCTCTCTCCAGGACTGTCCTTATCCCCCACCCAACGTGCTCCCGTCCTCCAGACTACTCATCAAATCTACGTGCAACTGCGTCGATGGGCCAAACAAATCCAGTTCCTGCTGTCTAATGTCCTCATCAGCGTAAATCTCAGCGATTCTGTTTCCGTTTCTATCTCTCCCAGCTTAGATTCCCAGTGACAATAGAACTGAAACATACCATCCACCCCCAAAATGTTACCGCCCTTGAGTGTCGAGCAGATTGCCCGTCAAGCTTCAGAATTCGAGTTCGACCCTTTCTCTCCATTACGTTACTGGATACGGGCAGCCGGGCTACTAGTTAAAGAGGTACGCTTTTAGTTTTGTTCTGCAGGATTCTTACTGTGCTCCTCTAACCCTACTTTTTAACCTGCAGGCTAGCATATACGAACGCGAAGGAAACGATCAACAGGCATATCTTCTGCTTTTCAGACATGCGCAACTTGTACTCTCACATATTGCGACCCATCCGGATGCGCGACTGGAGGATAATCGCAAAGCTATAGCTGCCGCAAAACGGGAAGTCCAAAAGAACCTCACCAAACTCGAGCTGTTAAAACCTCGTATCAACAAACGATATGAACAATACACTCAGCTTTCCCGTAACAGAGAGGCCAAAAGGACACCTCCTCTACCAGAAAACGGTAATCTTATAACTGCAAATGCCCCGGCTGACCCTGCATTAGCTGGAGTTCCGGAACCGTTAGATGCAGCTAAGAATAGGGAGTTCGCTGTCAAACTTGCCCAGAGGGAATTTAGCCGGCGAGCAACTGCTCGCGCGGTATCTGAGCCTTGCGATACCTATGAGCAGACAGATGACCTCAGTCAGCGTCTCCAAGATGTATGGTCTCAAGTCTTAAGAACAGAGACAACGGTTAGAAGACAACCGTCAAGCCCGAGTCAACCTTCAACTCGCAACGACCATGGACAAAACAGGACCATATACCCAAGACCTAGTAGTTCAAGGCCTGTGTCTAGTTTCAAATATCCCAGTGTTCCCCGCCAACAGGCTTCTGGTGTTGAACAACTGCCTCCGCCCCTACCTGATAAGGAGGAACTTGTTGCATCCAACACACTTCTCCCACCGCAACTCCCGGCCAAGATACAGGAGTCTTCCCTGTCACCTCCAGCGCGGTCTACCAACTTACCTTTTCCTCCACTATCTCCCCTTCCTATTCCGAGCAAGGTATCAACTGTTTGTCTAACTTCAACGAACGACATTTCTACCAGAAGTATAACTCCATCTGTAGACCCCCAGCCATCAGGATTTACCTTTAAACCTTCAGCCTATCTTGAAAATGGGACCCCTCTTCGGACAATTTTCATTTCTCCCGATCTCCGGAAAAAGTTCCTTTCCATCGCTGCCCCTAATACGCAGCGCAACCTCGAAACCTGTGGTATCTTATGCGGAACACTAATATCCAACGCTTTCTTTATCTCCACACTCCTCATACCTGACCAAGAGTCTACATCGGACACCTGCGAAATGATCAACGAGGCCGTCATTTTTGACTACTGCGATTCCGAAGATCTGATGGTTCTTGGTTGGATACATACTCACCCAACACAAACCTGCTTCATGAGCTCCCGCGATTTGCACACGCAGTCTGGCTATCAAGTAATGTTAGCGGAAAGTATTGCGATTGTTTGCGCACCCAGCAAGGATCCCGACTGGGGGGTGTTCCGGCTTACAGATCCCCCAGGATTGAAGTGTGTGCTCGCATGCACACAACCGGGTATTTTCCATCCGCATGCAGAATCTAATATCTATACTGATGCACTGAGGCCTGGTCATGTTTTTGAGGCTAAAGGTTTGGAGTTTGAAATTGTAGATTTGCGCCTTCGATAGGGAGACCATTTCAACTGCTATTTTCCTCGTTTTGTTGTGAGCTGGTACTGTGTTCCAAAACATTTCCAGCAGCGATATATGATACATGCTCTGGGATTATTGATTCACATCTCATACTGCATGTGCATATTAGTTTCGTTTGTGTATCAAGCCACTGTCTGCTAGAATTTTGGTATAATTTATTCTTTTAACAGTGCCAGTTGAATCTAGACTTATCTCAATTTACAAATTTCAATTGAAACTCTGATCAAAATTACATTATTAGTAGGAATTATAAACTCATTACAGAGGTGTACGCTTCTACAGTGCTCTTCGATGGAGTTTTGATCTAATATAATATGTTTTGAGAGTTAAATCTCGAATGTGTGATTCGTATGCGGCAAATACTAGACTCACAACAAAACGCGAGTAAGATTTGAATAATGAAGTTGATTCGACATGAGGAAACCAACAATAACAAGCTCTCCTTTCGAGGACATACACATTCATGATACAAAAATAACTAAGCAATGGCGTAGACTAGCACGGCAGATTATTTAAATACATGCAAGCAAAATCCACACTGCTGACTCAACCTGCCGCAAGACAAGTCCAAGTACCTTGGTGGCCAGTGGGTAAGACAGGCCAGAAGACAGCAAGGCTAAATGAAGTTCTTGAGTATGGATTTCCAATGAATGAAGCGATGGTAGCAGGTGGTTTCTATAAAACACTGGTTTTCTGGCAATGCTCTCTCCCCTCGTTGCGTCTATTGTCTCGTTCATGGGTCTCGCGCAAGTTGCCATATGCTGGAGGTGGTTTATACTATTCCTTCTTCGGATGTAAGTGCTAACTCACGATATTGACCTAGGCACGTTGACAAGGCGGGTTTTGAAGCCGGACAACATTCTTTTCAAGACCCAATTATCTTTACCGCCTTTAGAATCATGTCAACTGATACTTCAGGCGCGCCACGGACGACATTTTCCCACACATCTTCTGGGATTCTCTTATTCTCGTCCATAATTCTCCAGTTAGGGCTTTGTTCAGCTTTAATCCATTTGAAATCTTGCACCTGGTTCCACATGTCTGATTGGTTTCCTTTTGTGGGTCTTGAAGCCTATATGTAGACAAGTGGTTAGTCTTAGTGTATCTAAGTGGCGACTATGTATTTGTTGGTTCGTTCAGTGGCGGAATGGAGGTGCTGGGGTTGATGGGTTGAGTGGAAAACACAGCAGGGACTGGCAGAAGCACGTGGAGAGTAGCATACATAGATTTCTGGAATGTTCCCGAACCGGATACCGCTGCAGTCTTCAATGATTGGTTTACTGGAACAACTGAGATAGACATCTACATCCTGGCAATTGTGCATTCGAAATTGATGACATGTGACCACAATAACGCTGTTCTTGACCCCGGTAATATGCGCAGGGCCATTCACTTGCCCACAGAGAAGTAGACTTTCGGTGATGTCTTTTGTGATAAGGCTAGCGAACGGCTGCTCAGTTGTAGGAATTGACATATCGACAACGCAATGTTGTAAAGAACTTATGGAGGCAGGCGTGGCAGGCTTTGACGCAGAAATTGGTAGCACCACGTGAACACCAGTATGCGAACTCACAGATACAGTTGCAGACCCCGCAGTGGTGGAATATTTGGTGGTAGAACTCTTGGGACTGTTGGCGCCACCATTATCTAGAACCCCGGGATTCTTGGTAGTTTTAAGCGGGGCGGAAGAGTTTTGTTGAAGAATGGACATGCAATCATTGATGGGAGTTGACGAGGATATCGGTGATGGGCTGGCGGACGACTGAAGCGAATTATCATTGGATCGATACCCAGGAATGTGGCGGCGACCCTGAGCAGCTATCTCCTCGGCATCTGCTAAAGATATCGCAGAGGGGTTTTTGCGAGCGGTTTTAAAGGAAAATTTAGAGCGCGGCGCAAAACTCGCTCGTACTTCCGCAAGTTTGTCTTGGAGCGCTTTGATTGCCTAAAAGGTGTTAAAAAGAAGATCTTAAACCATATAAAAACGGCTTGGCAACCCAGATTGCCACCCGTGAACTAAAGACCACCCCTCAAAAATAGATAGAGATAAATGTAAGGAAATCCACTTTATCGCGGTAACGTACATCAGCGTATATCCGCTGGTCATATGGTGGAATGGAAGCTGACGCATCTTTCACTTCGCTTGACAGTCGAGCAATCCCAGCTAGACAATGATCGATAGCATCAGCGCGTTCTCCTCCAATCAGCGAAGTGGAACCCAGATGGTCCATTTGCTCCTGAAGGGCTACAGATGCAAAATGAGGTTAGCGAGAAAGGCGTATAAAGCTGATAACCGCATGAGACCCAACCCCACCTGTAATCTCATGCTGAAAATAGCGGAAAAAACGGTCTTTCAGCGATATATCCGGTTTGCTCTGGGGATTATGCTCATTGGGCAATTGTTCTGCACTGGTGACGGCCGAAGAGGACATTTTGGATATTCAATGGTTGGAAGAATTTGTATTCAGTTATGCGAAATCCGAAATCAGGGTATATAGGTTGTTTCTAGCTGAACATGCGGTAGAAGATACTGGCTACCGGGGATTCAGTGGTATCATTGTCGACTCGAAAATAACTGCCGCTGAACCAAAGCGGACAGAAATCTGACGCGGGGAACGCTGGCTTCAATGAAGACCAAGGCACAAGAGTCTAGCTCATTCAACAAAAAAACATGAACTTTGGCATAGAGACAATATCGGCTATGGGATCAAGTTGCTCAATGGAAATGCCAGAACAAGTTCCGTGTCTGTCTCCCGTTGTTTTGAGCCCGTAGAGTTGAGGAGGGATTCCTCGGTGTGCCGGAGATGGAGTTTGTGTGTTGGGGAGACCAGATAGATCACGTGATAAAGTCCATATTTAAAAAACTTTCCATAGAAGATTCCAAGTAGACATTTAGTTACCAGTTCCGGGATCGACAACCTGAAAACAAAAGTCAGAAGGCAACATTAACTTGCTTAGGGACCTACATCGCTGTCTCTGATCATATATATCCTTCCGGTGCAACACGGGGCATTTCTGGGACTGAGTAGAGGTGCAGAATTAACCAATCCCCAGACTTGCTTTTCGGGAAGTTAACACTACACCAGCTCACAACTTATACAGAACTGCTGTCAATCAATTTGCCTGCTGCTCCGACTGAATCTTCAATTCTTAGCAAGTTTCGATTTACCAGTCGTTCCATGATTCATCTAAGTGAAGAAATAGATAGAAACTATTGGCGAAAAGTCCACGAATCATTCTGGAGCGTTCTCGAAACCCTGGTGGAGATATCCATCTCCTGACTATTAACTAAATCTTTAAGCTAAATAATGGTTGATTCCATGTGGGATTCCTTGTCAAACTTCCCTATTGATGCCAAAATGACGGTCACTGTTAAACGCCGGAATCGCTGTACGGCTCGCCGCCATTTGTTAGGTTGAACATTGGCATTCCCTTGATGTCGCACACAATTTGAAGCTACATGATTTTCACACGGCATCTTCTTCAACGGAGTTGTTTCTAGAGAACTTTACTGAATAGCAGAACGTCATTTCCGAATGGTTTCATTCTTTTCAGGCTTCATTGGAGCCTTCACTAGCTGGTAGCCTTGGAATAGTATAAAATCTTTTTTCAGCTCCCCTTGAAGCCCTTAAATATACAATTCCGCCTTGCTTTGTGTTATACCACAAATTTCATGATTTTTTGAGCACACAGTTATGGGACTTGACCACAACTTGGAACCCAAGTTACGGACAACATATGAAGCGGGATCAGGTCGAACAATTTCTGAATCCACTATCACACGTGTCTGAAGCAATTAGTCGTGGTTGTATCGAGAGGGTGTTTCCATAACCATGGCAGCTGGATTAACTCTATCGCACCTGTGTCCCAAGCAGAACGGCTGCCACTATATTTCTAACTATGGAGCAAAATTAGGATAATTCGAACTCCTGAATACTCCATGCTGCGCGGAAATTCCCCTCATGTTCATATGATGCAGCCTACGACAGGGTTTAGTTATCCACAAACCCGACTTCAAAGGCACAGTTGCGCCTCGTAGTCTACCACCCGATGACAAGTTTAATGACTGTGGTTATGGTGTTACCCAGGCCTGCCTTCGCGAAATCTATAACATTGGGAACTTCATGGCTACACCAGATCCGCGAAATAAACTTGGAATATCAGGTTATCTCGAGGATTAAGCTAGATGTGGAGATTTGGAGCTTTCCTTAACAACAGTTTGCGTTCGCGCCGGAACTAAACGGGAAGTTCTTTTGAAGCAGTTTCAATTAATAGAGGACTGAACCTGCAAAATTCAAGCCTGGTGTCAACTGAAGCCAGCTTGGATGTTCAATATGCCATTGCTCTTTCTAACGCAACCTCGGTATGCTACACGACAAAAGGGCGTAGCCCAATGATACCTGATCTGGCTCTTCATGATGAAAATACCAATGCACAATGAGCAGTACTTGGAGCAGTTGCACTATTTGCTCTCCCTTTTGGACGAGGAGTTACCAGCCGTTCTTACCACTTCATACGGTGAAAATCAGCGCACAGTAGCTGAAAAATACGAAAAAGCCACCTGCGATTTGTTTTCCCAACTAGGTGCACAGGGTGTATCCTGATATTCGACAGCGGAGCCTCTGGACCAGGAAGTGCCTGTCAGACTAATTATGGCAAAATTACTGCACGATTCGATCCTAGTATTCCCGCTACTTGTCATTTCTTAACATCTGTCGGTAGGACACAGGGCGCTATTCCTGAGCACGCATCATCAATCTCGTCAGGAGGGTTTTCGGACCGGTACCCCCGCCCTTCATACCAACGTGAAGCCGTATCACAACTTTTGGGTAAATTGGGTGGTCAATGGAAGGCCTCTATAACCCTACTGGTCGTGGTTTTCTTGATATCGTAGCCCAGTCGATGGATTTTATGATTATTGACCATACGAGCAAGTTACAACAGGAGGAGCTACGTTCGTATATTGATCCACTCGATCTCCCTACTTTCACGCTTACAGTTGAAAATTCCAACGTGTCGTCTACCCGCACTTTCTCCCTCTTGCCCTCTACTCAGCTTCAGCTACCCTGTTTGCGTCCACGATAAACACATACTGACTATTTCTACAGCGGTGCCACGCCGATGTTTGCATCAATTGAAATCAATCTGAACTCAATTTGTCTAACTGAAGGAAAGCCTGAGCTTGGATTTCTCAATCCCTTACTTTACAGCCTTCAGGGAGCAGGTTTCAACGACATTATCCACGGTTGCTCGGGAGGATGCACTGGCAAGTCTACCGCTTCCGGTCTATCCGCGCCACATACTCCAGGAGCGGGGTGGAATGCAACTGTCGGATGGGACCCTGTGACAGGATTAGGGACGCCGGATTTTGGAGCGTTAGCAGAGCTGGTGAGAGCTTTATGAGAAGCAAGGTATTCTTTTTAACTTTTTTAGCTATGTTGTTGTTTTGATATATTTATTCTTGGTGCATTTCTGCGAGCGAATAAAAACTTATCTTTCTCTCTTGGACTACAGCGACGGTAGACATGATTTCAAATAATCGAGTATGTTTGATAAGAGCATGCTGTTCGCAGGGAGGACAATGATGCATGGAATTTATCAAACCCAGCATGTATTCAAATGGTTAGTTATTTATAATATAATATTTATCAATTATTTATGAACGGACTACATTAAAAATGTACATGGGCCTTGCATCTATGAAAAGAAGAGGTTTTGTGTGTTTGCAGAGAATCATGATTTCACGTGACAAGGTTTCATCAAGGGATCGGAAAATCATTTTTGCGACGCCAACTCACGATCGTGTGAACTGACCTCAAAGCTGTGTTTAAGATATCTCTCTGACTTGGTCTTAACTTCGTTTCTTTGCCGATCCACTGAGGTAAATCGGTCATATATTATACCAGACTTATATCCACGCATAGACCTCTTCAGAAACATTCTTCGGCACTCGCATCATGGCGAACCACGAGCTCCCCGCGATCATCGCAGAGCTCCAAAGCAAACTCCAAAGCAAACAGTTAGGGAAAGCCACAGAACTCCTCAGCAACGCAAAAAGAACTCTTCTCAAATTAAACGCCCTGGTCCCTATGCCATCAACCCCTCCCGAACTTATCTCACTTGCCCGCGAAATCTTCGAACTAGGCGCCATCGCATCCCTCCGCATAAACGACTACACCTCTTTCACGAGATACTACCAGCAGCTGCAACCGTTTTACGACAAGGAGCGAGAGTTGGAGGTCACTGAGAGCGCGTCTGTGGCACAGCTAAACCTGAAAACGAGCCAGAGAAGCAAGATCACCGGCCTGTATCTGCTCTATCTGCTGAGTCTTGGCAATAATACCGATTTCCATACTGTTTTGGAAGGACTGGTAGTGGAAGCGTCTTTGAAGGGGCAAAATGTCGAGGATGACCCGTTTATTAGATACCCAGTTGAGCTGGAGAGAAGCTTGATGGAGGGGAGCTATGATAAGGTGTGGCGGGAGACCAAGTCAGAGAGAGTGCCGTCGGAAGATTTTGGGATCTTTTCTTCTGTAAGCACCTTCTTAAGATTGTTCCTTCATAATGGGCTCTTATGGAGACGCAGGGGAAGAGGGTGGTTTCCCTGTTAGTATAGTTTCCCCGCTAACATCATATGTCCAGGTGTTGGTTGGCACAATCCGAAGCGAAATCGCCGATTGCTCTGAGAAGGCTTATCCATCCCTCCCCATATCTAATGGCAAAAACCTGCTATTCCTTGACTCTGAAGGGGCTGTTGTTGAATTTGCCCAAGCTCGGGGTTGGATTCTTAGAGATGGAAGAATATACTTCCCTCAACCAGAAACAACACAAACAACACAAAACTCAGACAAGGGTATCCTGCGTGCTGGTGGTTCGATTATCGAGAATGCAATCGGGTATGCCAGGGAGTTGGAAACCATTGTTTAGTTTTGGTTATTGTTATTCTTGTTTTCTTGCTGCTAAAGCCTTGTCAGAAGCCTTGGCTGGGTATCGAGAAATTTAGAGTGAGGATAAGAGAATGGGGTGTACAATACAATAATGCAGCCTTAGCCATTTATTGGTGCCTGTTGACTTTATTCTCGTGTTTTCTAAGCGAATTGTTACTTTCTCATTTTGTTATTTCTGTCGCATAGCCCTGCTAGTAAATGAGAATCATTTATTCATGACCTCCATTATGATGTCAATCCGCTGCATTTCTAAGGGCCATTGTCCTGGCATAATGCAAATCAACCTTACAAGACGCAGCGTGGAAAAAAGATTAATTGCCATGCTTATACCTTCACCCTCCACACACATACCCGTTTATCGTAAAAACTGCTTGAGACACAGAGCAATTTCGAATCCCTATTCGTCCGCTGAAGTTGGTCCTGGCCTCCACTCCCAGGCATAGCTCCAGACCCAGCTCCGCCGTTACCTCTCCACACATCCGATGCATAATTCATACTCTCATGTTCCGTAAACTCTGCTAAAACTTCGATATCCCACTTAACAACCAAAAGCACCTCTCCCCACCAGTCGAGGATGGGACCCTTACAATCTTCGCTCCAGCATACCTACAGCTAAGCAGAATCAAGAACGGACGTGCCCGTTCTACATTAGAACCTAGTCTCGATGCAGAGACCACGTTCGTACAGGTTCAGTGTCGGCATTTAAGATCCAAACTTCAGCCAACC